TTATTAAATGTATAGATATGAAATATCATAAATAAATAAATAGATTTAAGGGTGTCATTGATAGTGGATTCGTATTTTAGTATATTATTTTAATTTTATTGTCCCTATTTTTTACGACACCTATCTAAAATAAATTCAAGTTTATTAATATGCCGCTTTTACACCACTAAGATTTTTCTGCAAAACAGATCTCATTAATTAATTAATACCTATGCTTTGTATTATTCAATTGAAAAAAGATGATTATATTTTAATATTATTGAAATAGTAATTTTAATTTTATTAAATTAGATTCATCATAATCTACAAATATTCAATACATATAGTGCCAGTGTTGGAGAAAAGTAATATACAAATTAACATTTATAAATGCAGAACTTTCGGTAATCTCACAACATTTTGTTTGTACGATGCCTTTTAATGATTACATTAAATTCACGATGAAAACATTAACAATGAAATAATTCTTATATGCATGTTTAACAGGGCTTTTGGTGCACTTATTTGATCGTATGCTTATCATTACATCAATATAAACGACTCCAGCATACGAATAATTTTCAATGAAGATCTTTGCTGAGGTTCTTGATAGACGATTATCATTTTGTATGCGTGTTCTTGCTTCTAGCGTGGGTGAACTCACTGTGCTAAGGATAATCATCCGCCGTTGAGAAGTCAGCGATTGTCGCTTGCCGATAAGTTTAAGTTTTTCACGCACATCCGATTTAATGCTTTTTACGCACGTACGATCAAACTAAATTAGCACTTAGAAGTACCATTGATACGATATATATATATATATCTCCGACACTTTAATTCAGTGGATTGGAGTACAATTCAGACGCAAACGATCTTGATCGTTTGTACATTTACCTTGATTTCAAAGTAAAGGCTTGCAAATATTGACGCGCGCGTGCATACACCTGCACCCATAAATATTCACGCATATATAAGTTAAACTATTTTTAAATTAACGAGAAAAAATTGATAAATCGATAAAAATATCATAAAAGTAAATCGAAACAAAAACAAAACTACCACGGAGAGATTCGATAATTAAGAGTAATGCAAATTTAATAGGCTCCAATTTAATAAGACATTTTTTATTGAGCGTACATCCAATTACTCGGTAATTTAAAAAATTACTCGGCTCACAGCCTGCATATAAAGTATTTTCCAAAACAAACAAAAGTAAAGAATAGCACATCGTTATAATAATCTTGCGATACAAATTTACGAGCAATAAATAACAGTATTGTCTGATTATCAGTCCACCGCGAATTACTCGTATGTCTTGGAACGATGTGCAATGGACCGCAAACCCGAGAGTCCGAAAAAGGCTAGGGCGCAATAAATATCGAAGGCAAACAAGTGCATATTATACGCACACACTAAATGTTCGTTATTATTTGGTGTAACTCGAAACTAAGCGGTTTAAGAGATTGGGAGAGTTTTCGACTTCGTTGTTCTTTAGTACAAAATCGCCAGATTATTCGATGTTCCAGCTTAGGTTGAATTTGTCGCTTGGTATTTGAATTCATTCATTGGGCAATTGAATGTCATTATTCCACACTTTCCATTCCTAATGATAAAGATGTACGTACGTGCATATACGTATACGTATATACTCCGTAATAATTTTTCTTGTATTAAAATAGAATTAGATAGAAAGATTTTCCATTAATATTATTTAACATTATAATGCTTTTGTAAATTATATTGGGAAAGTATTATTTAATTTTATAACGTAACTCGAAGCAAATTTATATGGCTTTTATAATTAAGATTCTCGTTCTATGTAGCATTGACAAGTATTTCATGATTGCAGATTTAATTAACAGATATTTCGAATTTTATAATAAGCTTCTTACCTTTATGATCTTTGTTTTGTATAGAAATTCAAAAGAAGAAATTTTAATTTTCATCTAAAAATATTGATAATTTATTCAAATTTTAATACTTATGTTGCAGTGTAGTTAACGGGGCTTAAAAATATAATTTAAAAATCAAATCAACGTTTTCTATCGCGCGATTGAGCTGTAAAACGTAAGAGATGGTGGGAATTATGGACGTTTCAATTCAGGCAAGGGAAGGGAGAAAAATAAGGTAGAGAAGTAGAGTTCGCCGAATGGTCGAGACAAAGAGCAGAAACGATGAAAAAGAATGGAGCTACGGAGGTTGGCCGTGGAACGATGAAAAATTACATTTTAAAATCTGTCTTGACTATTATACGATGGTGTTTTTACATTATGATTTTGCACAGAGGTCTTAAAAAATTACAGTTTATTTCATTAGGTGATAATTCGGTATTCGTTTTCAGTTGATGAAACTTTCATGCAATTGAATTTTAAAGAAGCTAAAGGAATAAGTGTTTCTTTGGACGTTTTGAGTGACTTAATTTAATGACGAAAATATAATGTAAATTTGATCAAGAGCGCAAGTAGATGAATGTTTTGTAAATTTAAGCTATACGTTAATTTCCTTGGGAACTGAAGATGTTAAATGAATTCTGCTGTGAATAAAATAGTAATAAATTCACTTACCAAAATGGCATCCCACGTGTATTACTAAATAATGTAAATGAAGTAAATAACGTTAGTAGTGTAGTAATAATGTTAGTATTATAGTAATAGATACACGTGATTCAGAGGTTTTATTCAGCGAAGAGTGCTTCTCCGCTGTAATCTAGGAAAAGCAGCTAAATGCTATTGAATATGTAGTCCATTGTATCCAAATGAAGTCTGTAAATCTCGGGGAGATGTTCCGTGGTAACCATTGAAAAGGAAAGCTCCTAGTGGCGAATAGGCGGCGACTGTTGCGAATCGGCACCAAACGAAATTTCCACTGACCGAATGATGATAGTATAGAGTCGGGTATGCATAAGTGCGCGTGCAGGGTTCGATGATTTTCGAATGCGCGCCGGGGTCCTGCATTCCTTTGTTGTGTAATAATGGGCCCCGGCCGGCCGTAGCAGCTTCCTCGGGGTTTTGACGCGCGGCGCCCATAGCGCCATGAATAATGAAGGAGTCTTCCCGAGCCCTTCTTGTACTCCTCGCCCGCCTGCTCTCACTCTCTCTCTCTCTCTCTCTGTCTTTCTTTCTCTCTCTCTCTCTCTCTCTCTCATCGTTTCAGGTGTATACGCACACATGGTTGTGCGCATTTGCCTGCACACATATTAGCTTGGACTTTAGCCGACACTAAGCCGCCGATATTGCCATACGTATTTTAAAAGGCGTTAATTCGTTTATGCTAGTTATTAATCATATATACAGATCGCTTGTTATTACGACTTTTGGTTTTGTTATATTATCGCCTTCGGCTGTATTATGGCTTGTAAGCCAAAGTTATCGCTCACATTATAGACTTTTTTTTTCATTTTGTTACTTTTAGTAATTTTTAATGACACAGTTAATGAAATTTTCTATACACTATGCAGGATTTGGATTACACATCTGCTCATTCGAGTCACGACATTTTTCGCGTTAAGGATTAACCTGCTATTTTTACTTTAATTTTCTTGAAGACTTTTAATATTCAATTTAAGTACGTCAATTTTATACGAAGCTATGTCAGTTGTAAAAAAATTATGAATTATTAAGAAGATTATGTTCAATTTACAAGCAAGCACTTACATATAACCGCTCGTCTGCACATACAACCGCGATCGTGCGCGCACGCTTATAATAATAATAAAAAGTATGCGATACATTATTTTAAATATAAATAAATAATATCAAGTAAAATATTATTTTTATTGAGATTAAGGTAATGTAGCATTATAGTAGTGTTAAAGAAATTTTTATTTCTACGACTTGTTTAATCGACTGCCAGTCTGTTAATATTTAATTATTTATAATATTATTTATCTAACGTTCTTTTTTTAATGTAATAAAATAATATTATGTACTATTGGACAAAAAAAAAAACTTCTTGTTTGAACTGAAAAAAAGATGATGAGATAATAAATAATAAATAGGTTGTGCAGCAGATGCGTAAACTTTTTTTTCTGAAAACACAAATTTTTACAAGTCATCCAAGAGTCCCTCTTTCTCAAACCGTTCGCACGATCCAGGCAGATTAACGGTGTAATGCATGGTAGTTTTAGAAATTATTCTTCCCACTTTAATGATCTTTCCGTTGACTTTCTCAACTTCTGACGATAATTTATCATTTCTGACGTTCAGATCACCAATATTCATAGTTTTATTTTTAAACGGCATAAATTTATTTAAAAATATTGGCTTTTAACGTGTTAAAGATGTTTAAAAGTCACAAAAGTATACCTTCAATTTATTGCCAATTTTTAGTGTTTTAAACGATAATATATTTTACGACATTAGTTATAGTTTGATATTAAAATTGCATGCTATTATTGAATTATTGAATTATATTATTTGGACTTTTAATAATATATTTTGTTATTTCTTTTATTCGAATTTCACTAAATAAGAAAATGAGTATGATAATAAGTGATCTAATGAAAATTCAAGCAAATTAAATTGATAAATTTATTATTTATTATAAATTTATTTTTCATCCAAAGGTCATTTTTACAATATTTATTATACTAATGGAGCAATCAACAGTAGGCTTAAAAGGTTAAGAGTTAACGATATTGACGTAATTGTAGATAGGCTCTCCATTGGAATACGAATTTTTGCAATTTAAGAGTACAGAGCTTAAAGACAGAGCCTATAACACAACACACCAGTAACTTCCGAGACTCACAATATCTACTGGATTTCATAAAAATCTTGCAACAAGTTTTCTCCATGCAAAATGCGGAGTCGATAAACCGGCAAAAATTAACAAGCTCATGCCGATTTTCACGCGCGAGTCGATCCTCGGCCATTCGGGGATCACCTCGGTGCGTGCAAGTCGCGCACACGCGATAAATTTAAGACTAGTACTAAGTGTTTGCCGCGACTCTCGGGGTAGATCGTTACCTCGATGACGGTTGTCTCTAACCACAGTAACTCTCTACCACTGTGCAGCTCCAGGCCGGGGAGACCACCGAAGCGGGCTTCCGTCAGTCTCAGCCTCGCCGCTAGTCATTTGGCCGCCACGGCCGGCCACCACGCGCATCAACTCAAGAAGCACCGCCTGGACAATGGCGATTATTATGAGAACGGACATCTCGGTGAGTGTGCTTTGCTTTTTCTTTATCTTGACTGTTTCTTTCCGTCACTACGCCGCGCTCGCTCTCCGTTCTTTTGTCTGTTCGGCAGAAGAATGGCGGGCGCGTACCCTTGCGTATTCGCGTTTTACCGCTACAAAATGTTGAATAATGCTTTAGCCCTTTGGTTACTTTTATTAACGATACGATCTGGCGTCAATTTCTCGGGTGCTTCAGAGGCTCATTAAGCATTGGCATTATTATTGATCCGCGAGTAGATAATATAATCACGAAGGCTTTTGTCCTCTAAGGTGCTCGCATTGTGAAAACTTCCCTTGCAACTCGGCTACGACTCGGCCATTTTCCAATCATTGTAATGACAATCGAGTATATGTATTCTTTTTCAGTACTTCGATAAATCCTTTTTTATGCCATTTTAGCTTATCTGTTGGCGATCGAAAGTAATTTTATGAATAAATTGATCTATTCGGATATCTCAATGTTGATGTAGAATTTCACTATCGACATATTGTGTTAATTACGTTACGAGTTAAATACGAGCACTCAAGTTTAATTTAATAAATAATTTCAATTCTCAAAATCTATCACTTTAAATTTTAATTGCATTATTTTACATACTGGCCATAAATAGTCAAGTTATGTGAATAAGCTAATTGATTGGCCTTTTTCTTATGTATGAGTATTTACCCGAATATTCAAAATGCATTATCTAAACTAATAATAATATATATAACAATAATAATGGTTGTAATCTCTTAATATTATTGTAATATAAGCTTTGTAAATATGGGATTGGAAATACGGGAACCAAAATAAGTTGTATAAATATTTATATTATATTGAGCAATTGTATTAAAGGTAACTAGAAACTATATAGTATTATTCTATTAAGATATAAAAATTCTTCAAATAGCTAATATATAAAATCAATATTTCCAATATTGATAGTTAGCAACTAATTATTGTATAAGCAAACGACCTCGAACTTTATTGTATATAATGTACATATATACCAGCTGTACAAGCTATTTTAAGCTTCTAAAGTTACTTTGTCATTTCGGGTATAGAAGATATTCGAGTTGGAATTCTGCTACAAAAACGTGAGTATTGCAAATACAAATTTTGTTCATCAAAAAATTTACAATAATTTCGTTTTAGCCACGAATCGACTCCTAATATCTTTCGAAATGAAGTTTATTCTATAAATTAATAATTGCATAGAATGACAAACGAGTTTTATGAGCCAATTTAATTCGTTAGTGTTATCCAGTTTATTTTCATAGAAAAATAGCAACAACAACAACAACTACATATTTATAATCAATATACACAATGTAATTTTTTTTATTGTAATAATAGCAAAATAACGTTTTTAAAAATAAGGTCATCGTTCCGGCGATTTAATCCATAAAAATAAAAAACTCATTTAGGTAAATATTAGAGAAAAAGCTGCCTCCCGCTTCAGAACAAATCCGATCCCTCAGTCTTCTCCTGGGACGCCTTCTACAAGTGCGTCATCCGTTTATTGCATTCTCAAGCTGCAGGAGTTCGGTCGCACGCGGCACCGGCCACACGTACACGGACCAATGCAAGCGCGCCTCTCCCTTCGTTCGGCTACATACTTGATTACCGCCATCCGCGCAGATGCAGTGGTGGTGGTGGTGGTGGCGGCGGCGGCGGCGGCAACGGTGGCGACGCGTACCACGACCCCACCAATCAATTAATTAGAGGAATCAAACGCACTTGGAGTGAGCAAATTAACTGCAACTGCACTCTCGACGCGATGCGCGCACCCGTGCCCTGCGGCTTGAATTCCGGCGAGAATCCAGAATCAACAAATCGGCGGCTCGTACGCGCCCACCGATTAATTGCCGAAATGCGCGCTCCGTTGAACTGCGCGAAAATATTATTACGCCGGGGGTGGGTAGCTTACCCTGTGCCCGCTGCTCTTTTATTTATTCGACAGTCAACTGTGGTTCCCATTGCCACCTGCGCTTTTTCGTGTTTCAATGAAATTAAATGGGATTCCCCTTTTTCCTGTTTTGCTTTTGTAAAAACCTTTTGCTACCCGGAATCGAAGGCTCCGCGACGAAAGCGGATCTTCCATTTTTCGACGATTGTTGTTGGCTTTGTTGTGAAGCCGAAATGCGCTTTAATTGAACGCATCGCTCTTAAGAGATTCGATGAAAATTAATGTGATTGATCGAATGATAAAAATGAATATAAATTATAAAAATTATAATTGCTTTTGCATAGTAATACATTAGATTTTTTTGCTTTGTCATTTTCACGTTATTACCAGGTATTTATAAGAAATTTTAATTCAATTCTATGAAAATAAGCACTTAAAGAGTTGTCATTATATCCATATATAATATTATTGAAAATCATCGATTCAATTAGCTAATAAATACTTTAAATTATATAGACATTAATTGTTCTTTAACTTGTCGTATGATAGTTGATATTGAAAGTAGAAAAGTATATCGAAGCATGACTGGTAATTTAATCGGAATATATAATCTAGATTAATATTCAAATGAAATTAGCGTATAGTCGATAAATAATGTGAGAGTATAGGTAATTGGCTCGATTTCGGAAATTGTATGACCAAATAATCTGAGAACGAAACGACAATAATTTTACGAGCAAATACGCGTTGCGGTGCAGCCAAATTAATGCCGAGACATGCGCCTGTTTGCGTGGGTGCGGCACATTGCGACAGTGTTCACGGAATGTGGACCCAAATATGCGAGAGGGTTAAGCATCGAAACGGCCTATTAATTATACAGTCTGTCTGTAATTGTATAATTGTTTTACTAATGCTTAGACTATGAACGGACTATGAATTAACGAATATACGTGAATACACGTTCCCCCCACACACAAACACACACGAATACTCGTACAAATACGTACACGCCTTATGCTTCGTTTAAAGTATTTAAGTACTTGCGACTTTTGACGGTTGTAGCTACGATATGTAATTATTGAATTATAGGAGGATTAAAAAATTATTATATACCTGATAATTAGATGAGTTATTTTCAAGTTCCTGCAATAACGTGTAAAATACTGTTTAGTCACTAGATCCTCTAAGAACATGGCGCTGTCAATTATTTCGATGACGAGCATAAATATTCTTTATTTCAGTATTTTTCCGGGATATAATAATATATTTCAGTATGTCATTTTATAGTATTTAAATAAATTTCCGCATTTATTCTGAATTTAAACACTTGGGTAAATAATACTTTTAATTCGATTAAAAAACGTGCAGTGTTTAATATTATTGATTGTTTGATTATGAGTATAAGAAAAGGAATCTTTTAAACAGGGATTGTAAGCGATTGCTTCAATATTCTTTCTTTATCTGTGGGTAATAGATGTTGTACGTACCAAGAAAAAAGTCAATTCTTACTCGATTAGATTGCATATTAAATATTAATTGAATAATATATTGAATGCCAACAATATAAAATATAAAAGAGATATGTTCAAAAAGCTAGTTATTTCATTAAATTAATAACTTTGATTTATATAAGCTAATACAAAATTCACACCATACTATGCTACTTTTAATGCGAGCTTTATCAAAGCGTAGATAAGCGTAGCGTAGCGTAAGTTTATCAAAGCGTACAAACAGTTCTCGAATGAATTTGACTATTATATTTCATGATATTCATAATTTCAATGATTATTGTGCATGTTCTCTTGTTCTCTTGCTCATATTTTGTAAGTGAGCATTAATTGAAAGAGGAATACATGTAAAAGTAAAATCAATATTTATGGAAGTAGAAAAGGTAACTCTCACTTTGAATCTTGTTATGCGCTATCTTCTAATATTATAAATTAATCAGAAAATTGACAGACGAAAAAGTGTAAATAGTGCATCGATTGAAAAGAGAATGCAATTATAGAGGCACCAAATGCTTATCATGTTTTTAAATAGATAAAAAGGAAGAGCCGTTGACGAATTAATGTGGATCAGGAGAGGGAGGAGTGGGCGGATCGCGACAGGAGTTGAGCGGCATAAGAGCACGAGCATCTGAAAAGCTTATGATGCGTCAGAAGACGAGAGAGGGAGAAAATGGGCGGCAAGATGAATTGGGGCAAAGTTGTAAACGATAACTATGGGAAAGCGTTTACCTATCGGCGATATACGAGAAAAAAGAAGGGGAGAAACAGCCTAGAACAAGAGGTCGCACGCGTCCCGATGTAAGTAGGGACACGCGCGTATCGTCTCTCCTTCTCCCGTTTCGTTTTGCTTTGTTGCTCTTGCAGTGCGAGCTCCAGTGGGAAAGCCTACGTTTCGGTAACTTCTTTTGAGATTTATTTTTATAGTTTGTGAAAGGCGTGTGCACATATAAAGACCAGCACATTCAATTAGCTTTTTCATTTACAACGACTAACATTATTTATTTAGTTTAAGTGCAAGTTACCTTCGCTCTACTCTATTTATCACGTTAATTTGATAATATCGTATCTATTTGTGTATTATTATTCCATGGCATATTTCTAAAATATATTTAATATTACATGATCACTGCAGCTATTGGTTTTAAATGATCTTTTTTAGAAATTTCACAAGTCTAATTGAGAGAATAGAGTTGAATTTAGAATAAGTATGAAATATGATGGAAAGCAAACGATAAATGTAGATATTCGTATTGGACATATTTTTGATTAATTGCTGTTATAAATTGATGTTACAGACGAGTATTATTCAAAGCCGAATCCTCGGTAATTGATTTTATAAATTTATAGATTTTAATCAATTTATTGCGTAAAATACATCAGTTATATTTTTATATCTCCCGATTATCTAAATGAAAAGAAAATAAAGATTATAGTCTTTCCTGCATCTTCTCGTTCAAACAATTTCTTACTCATTAACCATCTTTATTCGCATATGCCACATGTGCATTTTTATTTTTTTTTTCTTTGAATCTCCACTTTTCCTTCATTTCATTTTCGTCTTTTCTTCATTTTTCTCTTTCTTT